GTTTACCTTCCGTCTGGCTCTTCGAAGGTCATATTATTCATATTACTGTGATGAAAACACAATTAACTTAGGAGGAATTATTGGATCTGGAGGTTCTTGGACAGCGAAGTGCAGCGATCCATTCAGTGCAGTGTGTTCACCGAGCTATTATATCGCGGACACTCGCTTTCGTTGTACTGACTTTAGTCGCAATGAAGACTGGTCCATGGGGGAAAATAACTTCACCTATACTTTTCCGTCTGGCAATCTGGAGTGGAATGTGAGGTGGGTCAATATGTCAATTAAGAAGAAAAGAAACAAGTGAAAACTGACTTTTTAAGAATATTTCACTTTAAAGGCAACAGAAGGCCTCGAACAAACAAGAGCCGTTTATAATTACCAAAATTATCTTTCAACATTGGGGTGGTTTTCCAAATATTATAACGGCTGAAAGCCGTTACCAAGTAGTTGTTATGACCCGAAATTATCTTCTTCTATCCATCACTTCAATATTCAGTCCCTCGATTACTCCTTTCTTCCATTCCTGTTAACTTTTTGGTAAGTACACTGACTAGTGTATAAGGCTTTCACATATTCAGGTTCGTTGATGTGGTAGCCTGTCTTCCCAAATCAAGATAACTTTCAGCAGTCTCAGTGTATTTAAAAAACATCCCTTTCTTTTCTCGTCGACAGATACCAAAGTTGCTGTTGGATTTCCAATCTTGTGCGATATGCTGACTCACAATGGTCGGTATCCACCAAGATAAGTCTCTCTAGACGATCTGACAGCGGCAAAATCAACTCATCCCCAGTCTCCAAGAGCCCAGCCATTGTACGGTTTCAACAGGGCTGTCACAAGTCTCTTACAATTCCAGTTGAAGATCCGGATGGCGATTTTGTGAAATGTCGTTGGGCAACTAGCGCCGAGTCCTCCATACCAAGTGATAGTTTTCCTTACGGTGAACTTGATGAGGTACATTTATGCCCTCTAATTGTGTTATTTCCCTTGTTTTATAAAAACGTGAGAAAATTTTAAACCTTGTAAATTAGGATGATCACAACTTAAGACCCTAAAAGATTCTTCCATTACTTCCATGACAAAAATATGGATAACGCTTCATAGAGAAAAAAGAAATTTAGTCTTGTTTATTCTTGATGAATTACATCAACACGTAAAAGAAAGAAGTATCAACAAGCACACTGTGTTAATACTAGTGAGATCTCAATATGGCACCTTGAGGTCGGATAATCTTAACTTGCTTGATGTATCTAAATAAGGTGTTCTTTGCAGAAAAACTGCATTTTAACTTACAGAGGTGGACTTGGAGCATCGGGCACATACGTAGTAACCTTAACTTTGGAAGACTTTCCAGCTGGAACCACAAACTTCAACAATATCAGACCATTCAGTGCTGTGCCACTGCAGTTTCTTGTCATAATAGGTGTTGGGTTTGGTTCTTGTCAAGACATACCTGTTTTTACTTCTTCTACACCTCAAAATGGTGAATGCTCAGAGATTCAGATTGGGTCGGTATACAAAGCAGTCATTGAGGTGCGGCTTCCAAACGTTAGTAAACAGTAAGTATTCAAGGTTACAATTTTAGGGCATCTGAGTTTGCCCTTTACATCCATAAACTGTTTATACTAAAACATATCCAAAGGTACATTACTTGTCTTGTTATGTTTGCTGTTAACCTAGACTCTTTTCTCAATATTCTAAGTATTGTCGAGATAACCACAAGCTCTCCACTTGGAATGCAACTGACACCATTAAGCTCCCATGGAGGCATCTTCTTCAGGAATGTCACGTGGTATCCGAGTCAGAACCAAATTGGGCAGCAGCTGTTCTGCTTTCAAGCTTTGGATTCAGACGGGTAAGATGTTCTCGCATGTTATGTAAAAGATTTTGTACCTGGAATTTGGATTTTGATGAACTGAAGTTAGATTGATGTTTTTCAAGTTTTAATAAGAATTAATGATCACTTTTCACGACAAAGTATAATACTACTAGTGTTTCACTGGAATGTTAGATCTTCATGTCGGCAGTATTCTTAACTCAAACGTGATGCACTGCACCAGAGCAACTCTGTGCTAATACAAGATACATATGCTGGAGTACCGGTTCGAGCAAAAACAGTTCTGTGCCAAGTTAACTTTAGAGCAAGTCGTCGTCGGGAGTATGCAAAAAGTTCATGTTGTGTAAACCGGCTTGCATTTATATTAATGATTCGTGTCATTTACAATTTACAGATTACAAAGTGAATGGCGCTGTGTCACGATCCTTGTGGGGCTAAGTTAGTAATTTTATATCCTCTGGAACATTTCAGTTCATTGAGACATATGCATAAATTGAGCTTGGTTAATTTCTCTTTCCCTCTGTTTAATCTTTAATACTGTTAAGGAGTTGGCAGGTTCATTTGTTTTTGATGCAGACTAGAACCACACAAACAAACACACATGCTAGTAAAAATAGCGAATAATGATAAATGATAAAAAGGCAATAATAACAATGACATCATAATAAACAAAAATTGACATAAAAAGTATATCCATTAAGTCAATTACTTATTCATCTATGATTGAATTACGATGTACCATTTAGATATTAATTCAATATAAATACACTTATTTTTAGGTAATACGCCTCATGTTATTTTGGGTACACGAAGGCCAATAAGTCCTATAAGTGAGATTGGAACAGGACTAATATGGTGGAGTATTCATTTTAACAGAGTGGTAATCAACACCCGTTTTTTTACCTTTTAAAGAATTACTTGTATGTAGATCCTTTATTAGCATTTTGATAATTTTCACGCTTTTGAGGGATAGCAATCACGTTAATTTATGACGAGGTAATATTACCCAGATATAACACCAGATTCCCGATACCAGGAAATAAAAAAAAAAATTACAATCACCTTTTCGAAGAACTAACTTTCAGATCTTGGGAATTCAAAAGGTTAGGGAAACATATATGGTTAGAATACACTAAATTTATGATTAAGCTCGATTATTTGCAGATAAAGAAGCCTCGTAGCTCAGCATTCATCCGATTGGTTCTGCAGTCAAATGGTTTTACCGTCTTCAAAGTGAATGTTCTCTCTGGTTACGTTGTTATCGACAGTAATCGCACAGTACTGCATTTTGCTACTCCTAAGGCTGCACTGAGTATGAACGGTTCATATGCCATCTTGATAGATCCCGGTGCAGTAGTTGGGCAGGGCTGTTCGAATGATGGTCCACCAACACCTGGTATAACCTCACCCATGGACTGGACCTTCCCCGTAGATGGTGTCTGCCCGCTTGGTTATGCTCTGGTTTCTCCAAGTTTTCAAAAGTGTGAGGGTACGTCCGCTGTTGTAGTATTTAGCGAAAAAGTACTCGGTATCTTTTCCCTACATTGGTCCGGTATGGGTTATGAGGGTGCATCATCCTTGCTTCAATCTCAACCGATGCAATAAAAGCCATCTGCTGATAGGATAGACTTTAGTACCAGGCCTGTAAATATATAGTGAGAATGATTGTTTTCAACCTAAATAGGTTTTGTTATAATTATTTTGAAATGTTATGTGCATGAAGGATAAGCTGTTGGAATTGACTTAATTATTTTCCAGATGATTTTTTAGAATGAAATTGCTCTCCATTATGATGCATCATCGTATGATATTCTAGAGTTTAAAGTCGCAAAGATCAGTCTGCATTCTCACTTTTAATATTATATCATTCTTTGCGCAGAAATTCTGATGTCTGCTGTTTGAGTGTAAAAACTAGTTAAAAACAAACATTCAATGAGATCAAGCAGAGCCTCAAAATAGAAAATTATATTGATTCAAATAGTGTAAACCATTTCAATATTTTAAATTTAAGCATGAACTCAAGTTTTGATTTTTTATTAACGAGAGTCTATCCATGTCAAAATTTCTTTTGTTTGCAGATATAGACGAATGCGGCGGACATCATCGGTCGAAACGTTCTTATTGGTGGTACAACGTGTTTTCCCAAAATTCAGGTAGATATCTCCACTGGTACCATAATTTTTTTGTGATGCTTCCTCGTGCTAATCATAATAAGGCCTCCCGGGTAATGTTTCGATTAACAGGATCATATAAATGAATGATAATCGGATCAATATCAGTATCTAGGCAACTGCCTACCTATCCCTCCCCTAACCCAACAACAGTAAATTGATAACAAGTTAGGGTGAATGTTGGGTTAGGGGAGGGGTAGGTGCGTAGTTGGCCAGATACTGATATTGATCCGATTATCATTCATTTATATGGATCACCAGAAGAAGCAGGCTTACCTTGTCAGTTCTGGGAACATAATCTATCTTAAAATCGTGACTGAGTTGAAAACGAAATCTCACCTATACATGCGCAAAACTAGATCATCATCCTCTTCCAGTGGAACGTGGCATACTATGGCAGTGGTTTCTAAGGAGCTGATTTCTCTGAAGTCCTCTTAGGGGCTGGTGTGAAATGGTTCTCCATCCATTTGTCTTTGACCTCCCCTTCCAATCCTCCAAGATAGCCCTGAGCACACTTTTTTGTCATCCGTTGGCTAATTTTACATGCTCATCTGTTCCCCTTTTCCCTCCTCCCTTCCACCCTTCTACCTTCACAAATACCAGAATAACGAACAGAACGACCATAGTCATATTCTTTTTTTCTTGTTTTCATGAAACTAAGTAGTTAAGTGCGGATTAAAGTTTACTGGTTTTCGGATCGTTAGCAAGATGTGCAACTTGAATGGTCTCAAGTTTGTATTCTCTCGATGATCTTCACAATTTACTGTTATTGTACACTCTCCGGCAAAACAACTAAAAATCACACCATTTCTGTCTAATCATTCCCTTTATTTCAGTTTGGATCTATTTGAAACCCATTGTCTCTTCATGGTCAATATAGCTAGAGACTTCGACAGAATTTAGAACCTTGACTTTACGGAGGGTCTCAATGGGGTTAACCGATGGCCGTAAAACGGCCAAAAAATTTACCCGTAAGGCGTAAAAATTGACAGATTTTAATCGTTAGTCGTAAAAAATGTTCACCGCTAAAAAATGTACAGAAATGGAATGATATTAATCGTACATGTTAGCCGTAAAATCGCCAAAATTTTAACCGTCAGCCGTAAAAGCCATCACCCCATTGAGACCCTCTTTTATTGGAACAGTTTCGTGTCCCGTAATAAAAAGTATTTAAAAAGTGAATTAAAAATTCCTCTCTTTTTCAGCCTGCAACGCTACTGGAGAATTCATCAGTTCTACCAGCGGTCACATTTCCAGCTACAATTTTCCCGAAAACTATGACCCAAACAGGATTTGTACGTGGAATATCACGGTACCCAGAGGGAAAATCATCAAACTGACCTTCTTGAACTTTACCTTGGTGGCAGGTGAAAACGATGACTGTGCTGGAGCGGCGGGAGATAGTGCCCGAGTCTTTATCACAAACGTTGCTTCTCATGGAGGAAAACCTAATGACTTTAAGATCTGTGGTCAAAAGCTTCCCCATCCTGTATACTCCGAGGGAAATTTCATTCAAGTGAGATTTGAATCTCGCACTGGTCTTGTAAACAAAGGGTTCAATGCAACCTTTGAGGCGATAGATAGAGATTCACGTAAGAGGTTTTCTTCTGTTGTATTTTCTGAAGGAAGCATAGAAGTGTATTGAGCATGTACCCTGTTGAACTAAGCGAGAATTTTGTTGAGTATAACCTGAAAACAATGATGTGAACAATCGATGAACAGCTATAGTCTGTAGAAAACAAATTGAATGTATTCAAGCCTTTCACTTGGACGCAAGCTGTTTATATTTCACGTCATACGGAAAATGAGCTGTCGGCGGTATTGAAAGTTAATCAGTTAACGACAGTGGAGTGTAAAATCAACACTAAAACAGTTTTCGAAGCCTGACACAGTCTTTGTTACTCTTTTTAGTGTGCCCAACAGATATGATCCTCAATGAAACATCAGGTTCTTTCTCCTCTCCCTTTTATCCAAGAAACTATCCATTCAACCAGACATGTAGCTGGAAGATTATAGGGAAACAAGGATACCGTGTTGAGCTCACAATACCAGACTTTAATCTTCAACGTTGTAGTAGCGGTGGTTGCTTGTGTGATTATATGGAGGTTCAGAATAGCTTCAGTGATCAAGCACTGCCTGGAAAACTATGTGGTACGCCAAGGTATACTCCTGTAAAATTTTATTCACTTCACGAAAGCTTGAGGGTGGTGTTTGTGTCCGATGATACAAACATGGATTATGACGGATTTGGGGCAACTTACAAGCTGTTGAACTACAGTCCTCCAAGTAAGTAGAGAAAACAACGACGTGAGATCTAAGAGTTCGCTGAGATAATATGTTACGTGCAATAAATTCACTCATACAAGTAATGATAATAAGCTTAGTTAATAAGAGTGGAGGTTACCCATTGTGCTTGTGTTCCTTCGAATTTCAATGTACAATATCGGTCCTGTGAAGTACTTTTCAAGACTTAGCACTGATAGCATATTTTTTTCTCGATTCATACTCAGATTTTAAAGTGTATGATAGTGTAAGCTAATCGTCTGTAGCCCTGAGAAGGACTGTTGTCGGTACTACTGCCTGGTGTTTCGACAATTAACCTGAGCGGACGTCAACATCAGAGTCTCGAACCCCTGGGTTCAAAACCATTTCCTGAACTTTAGTGTGTCACTAACTCAAGAAAATGTTATTATTATTCAGAGGTGGCAGTCGATGTGACAAACGCTTTTTTCTCTAAGCAAAGGGGTCATATCGGTTAAAAGAACATTCCTGCTTGGAACTTCTTGTGGTGTTTATTTTCATTTACAGACTATTCGAGCACAACAACTACTTTAAATGGTAGTTATCTTGTTTCTGTTGTTGCTACCCATGCCACTTCCACCACCACTGTCACCATCACTACCGTCTACCTCTAAACCTATCCTCTGACACCACTGCTATCCCTACCATTACCACTAACCCTTACTTATACAACTGCCACTTGCACTACCACTTTCGCCAACATCACAACCACCTTGCGGCTAAACTGTTATCACTACTATTACCACCTCCAGTAACACTTCCTCTGCCACTAGCACTACTACTTTCAACACTAATTTTACTACCACGACCGCCACAACTAGCGCCAGTATTTCCTTTATTATTTTCACTACTTCTTCTATTGTGGAGGTGGAGAAGGTAAGAGAGATAGGGAAACTGCGGTCAGGCACTTAAGGGATTTAGTTGCGAACACATCCTATTAAATTCGACTTATACACGAGAAGGTCATAGTCAGAGAGGCAGATTAACTAATTCACACAACCGTTAGTTACATTTGTCTCACCATAATTCCTGATCGAAGTCAACTTCGAAGCTTTTACGTGATTACCATTTTCATTTTACAGGTAACAAACCTACCTCATCTGCTACCAATATATCACCTTCTCCAGGTATTTTATTATTTTCTTTTTAATTTTGTCTTTTTTGCGAATGCTGTTGTTGGATCCATTATATTATACATGTTTTTTAAATCCTCTCAAAGAAAATGTACATTTGTCTGCCGGCAGGGTTCATAACAGCCCAGTAGGTTGTCTATTCTACTATAGGTTGTCTATTCTACCATAGGAGTAATAAAAGTCTTATATTTCCTTTTTGGATGAAGCAACTTCTATATCTTCAACGGCGTCAGCAATGCTATCTGCTCTTCCAGGTAAGACAAGGAGTTTTAATCATTGCTTCTACCGTGAAACCTTATCGACCTTGGTCGAATGAAAAGTTAAAACTTAAACAATGTACACGAAAATAGAGAAATAAAGATAACATTACACTAATTATGTTTCAATTCGTTCTTTATCAGGATCCTGTCTTTACAACTTAGGAGGCCAGTATGGATATTTCAACAGCCCAAATTACCCATTTAACTACGACCACCATCTTAATTGTGTTTGGATTATTACTGTACCAAATGGCTACTACATATACCTCCGCTTTGATCATTTCCATCTGCAAGGTGGCCATGGAAGTTGCCCTTTCGACTACGTGCAGATATATGACGGATCGTTTTTGCAAAGCCTCACAATAAGACGCTGCTATTATCAAAACTCTTGGTGTGTTTACAGTCACAGCAACGTCCTTTATGTGTATTTTG